CTCTCACTTTTCTCTAGACGTATAGTATATCAGTAATTACTCGCGGTTACCCGCGATTATACCCGTTACCTTTAGGGGCGGTTATGGTTTGGATAAAAATTACCAGTTGGATAATGGGGCGGTGGTAGTGAACGGTTACTCGTCGTTCTCAAAAAGTGTACTTGCAACAACAGAAAACCACACACACATACTTGAAGAAGAAAGTAATAAACCTTTGACAAAGAGATTGAGAGCCGGTGAAGGACGAAGATGCACGAAGACGGTCGTTTGAGAGCTGAAAACTGAGAGTGCTTGAGAGCTTTTGAATGCAAGAGAGATTGAGAGTGAGAGAAGAAGATGATGAAGAAAGAAGTAAAAAGACCGATTCTGTCTTTAAGTACGCGCGAAAAAGAAATAATTTTTTGGCTTTTTCTGAATAGGAATCTTTTTGGCTTTTTCTGAATAGGAAACTGACACTTGATCTCGCCATTACCTTGTGCGGAGGAAAAAACCCTAGCGGTGGAAACCCACCCTAGAATAAAAGTGTAAATCTTTTTGTTATTTTTCTAAGTAAGACATAATACTACTTTCTTTAACTCCTAGAATTGTGCGCCATCAATTGTGCGGCTTTAACAAAAAATTAAAAAAAAATAGGAAATAACAGACTCAAGAATAAAAGTGTAAATATTTTTTTGATTTTTCTAAGTAAGACAGAATACGGAAACTGACAGAAATAAAACTCCCACTCAATTGTAACACTCAGATCAGAAAAATATTTGATCCCCCCTAAATGCATGCACACTTTAGGGAAACGGACTAAACGACCAAGAACTCGCTCAATGAAATAAACTAGACTTAAGTAACTGACATGACAAATAATATGCATTACTCCCCCTATACTTGTGCACATATTTAAAAATCAAAATTCAACATTCCCAATTTAGAAACCCAGGAACTGAATTATTTTCTCGTCTAGAATTTTTGTGAATAGATTAGCCAATTACAACTCAGTGCACACAAAGTATAGGTCCACATGTCCTTTCTCAACATGATCTTTGATGAAATGAAATCTCAGGTCGATGTGCTTAATGCGAGAATGATGAACTGGATTGCATGAGATAACAATGACACTTTTTGAGTCACTATAGATTGGTATGTGGTCAAAATAAAATCTAAAGTCGTGTTGTTAAGTCATCTTCCATAGTCATCTTAATATGAGAAAGTTGAAATGATTCATGCAATATTTAGGTGTGATATAAGGATTGAGATCCTCTGCCTTAAGACAGAGTGCCTTGCTAAAATTAATGGCAGAGATTAAAACCCAAGCCTTGAGATCTGTGTAAAAAATGGGACCCTTGATCTCCTACCATCCCTTTTTTGATCTGAGAGCTTACAATTTCCAGGCACCCTCCAATTCTGCGTAGTCCAGGCAGAGACGCCGGATCCGTGATATAAATGAAGAAAGTGGGAAAATTTCGTCATTTCGATATGATGCATCATACAAAATCATAATAAGTAAAATGAGGTCATAAATTATCAACTATAAATTAAAGTATATATTCAAAACATATTCCATAGGCTAAAGGGTCAAATAGGTACATGAACTAACTTAAAGTGTTCAATTAGCCCCTTATATAGGAGGTTCTGCTCGGCCGTCGCCAATTGGGGTGGTTTCCGATGGCATTTTTTGATGAAATGTTTTGAGCATCTTCTTCATTAAGTCTAGTTTACCCATACCAAATTTCAGCTAAAAATTCAACCGGGAAGGCAGTCAAATGATTTTTTGAAGATAACTGCGCAGTTAAACAGCGCAGTACATTTCGGAAAATCATTTGACTGTCTTCCCGATTTAGTTTTTATCTGAAATTTGATATGGGTAAACTAGACTTAATGAAGAAGATGCTTAAAAATTTTCATCATAAAATTCCATCGGGAACCACTCCAATTGGCGACGGTCGGACAGAACCTCCTAAATAAGGGGCTAATTGAACACTTTAAGTTAGTTCATGTACCTATTTGACCCTTTAGTAGATTATTTATAGTAGATTATTTATGACCTCATTTTACTTATTATGCTTTTTTATGATGCATCATATCGAAATGACGAAATTTTCCCGCTTTCTTCATTTATATCACACCTAAATATTGCATGAATCATTTCAACTTTCTCATATTAAGTTGAAACTCACACTCCTGTGATGTACTAAGCTATGATTTGTGTTTGGTAAGTGAAGGATGCGGCGGTAGTGATCTACATTTGTGTTTGGTATTCTTATTTATTAATTTGTAAATAAAACTATGATTTTATTATTAATAAAAAAGGCTAAAGGGTCAAATAGGTACATGAACTAACTTAAAGTGTTCAATTAGCCCTTTATATAGGAGGTTCTGCCCGACCGTCTCCAATTGGAGCGGTTCCCGGTAAAAAATTTTGATGAAATTTTTTGAACATCTTCTTAGTTAAATCTAGTTCACCCATATCAAATTTCAGCTAAAAATTAAATCGGGAAGGCAATCAAATGATTTTCCGAAATGTACTGCGCTGTTTAACTGCGCAGTTATCTTCAAAAAATCATTTGACTGCCTTCCCGGTTGAAGTTTTAGCTGAAATTTGGTATGGGTAAACTAGACTTAATGAAGAAGATGCTCACAAAATTTCATTAAACAATTCCACCGGGAACTTCCCTAATTGGCGACGGACGGACAGAACCTCCTATACAAGGGGCTAATTGAACACTTTAAGTTAGTTCATGTACCTATTTGACCTTTTAGCCATAAAAAATTTATTAGAAATTATAAGAATGTATAGTAGACTAGGAAGAAGAGACATATAATACCCTAGTTTTTGAAATAAAAGGATTATAATTTTATTATTGCATTAGGGCTACTTTTAGTCCTACTTAGGACATAACTGTTTATAAATCAATTCACAAAGCATATGTTTAGTTAATACCATTGGATGACGTAACATTAAAAAGAAATAACTCCTAATGTTTGGATGAAATATAATTAATGGAAAGAATATGACAAAATAAATTTAATGACTCTAATTTTATTCAAATTTTATATCACTATAACTATAACAACATTCAAGCCTTAATTCCAAAAAAATTGAGGTCGGCTAATACGAGTATAAAAGTATAAATATAGAGCATGTTTGGTTACACTGAAATAATAGTCTGAATCTGTTGATTTTACTGAAATTTATGAAGTTCTGGCTGAAGTGACTGGATTGACTGATTCTGTTGATTTGTGAAAAAAATATATTTTATTAATAATAAAAAAGTGAAATTCATACAAATAATCCGTACTTTTGATGATTCTATAATAATAATTACTACTGAAAAAGTCAATACAAATAATCCAAACTCGTAATTGCGTCTACGTAGATAGAAACCTTCATAGATAGATTATTATCCTTCAAGAAAATAATCATAGTAATGATATAAAAAACACTAAAATCAAATTTATGACAATGGTAAACAAAGTCAATATTGTATCCTTATATATTAAATATCAAAAAGATTAGTGAGAACTATCAAATAAGCCCTCAAACTTTCATAAAAAGTGCAAATAAGCCCTTTTACAAGAGGCTTTGTCCGGCTGTCGCCATTTGGGGTGCTTTCCGGTGGATTTTTTTGATTAAATTGTTTGATCATGTTCTTCATTAAGTCTAGTTTACCCATACCAAATTTCAGCTAAAAATTCAATCTAAAAGGCAGTCAAATGATTTTCTGAAATATTTTGCGCTATCTAACTGCACAGTTATCTTCAAAAATGCATTTGACTATCTTCCCAATGGAATTTGTAACTGAAATTTGGTATGGGTAAACTAGACTTAATGAAGAAGATACTCAAAAAATTTAATAAAAAAATTCCACCGGAAACCGCCCAATGGTGACGGCCGGACAGAGCCTCCTACAAAAGGACCTATTTGCACTTTTATGAAAGTTCGAGCGCTTATTTGGTAGTTCTCCCAAAAGATTAATCTAATCTATCTATGTAGACGTGTTTGTGAGTATGGATTATTTTTATAAACATCTTCGGTATTGATTATGATTGTAGAAGCGCTAAAAGTATGAATTATTGGTATGAATTTCGCCTAAAAAATATATAAAAATAACTATCTGTAATAACTCTAGTCAACACATTCAGAAAAGTAATAACGCCTTACTTTTTTGTATTATTAAACAATGCAACGCGGAAAATAAAAAAATTATGTATTTAATAAAAATATTGACTAATAAGTCTAATAATTTTAGACCAAAAAATAGGTTTACCAAATGGTTCATAATAATACTCCCTATCTAAAGAATCATTTATGGTGAACTCCATCGTGCCAGAGACAGAGAGAGCATGCACAACTTGGTAACTAATTTCTCCCATGGTGAACTCCATAGTGTCATGTTCCATTTATTTTGTCACTTTTCATTTTAAGGAAAGATTTTATGTTCATAGTCAATTCGATTCATTTTTTTTACAAACCTTAATCACACAATTTTTACTTTATTAATCCCATATCAATCAAATTTGATAAAATTTTAAGGGGACAATAGTATAAAAAACGGCATTCCGGACTTTAAATGAAACGAAACGATTTCAATTATTAATAAATAAATTGTGATCAAAATAGATGCCAAGTAGCGGCATTCATTTCACAAATTAATGCAACTAAAACGCCATAGTTGCAATTACGCTTTATTTAATTGTTGAAAGGTAAAGGAGATGGCTGTCCGTACTCTGTATTAGGTAACTCCATAAATCAGCTCATCACCGCCACAGTCAGCCGTCTGCGCGTAGCTTTTCGTGATGGCACCAAAGGAGGCGGAGGCGCCAGAGGCGATCAAGGCGCTCTTTGATGATTACTCTGATAGTGGGATCATGACCGTTGACCATTTCCACAGGTTCCTCATTGAGATCCAAAAGCAACAGAATGCTACAATGGAAGACGCGATCAATGTGTTTCGGCAAATTGATGTTCAACCCGAACACGGTTTAAATCTGTACAGTTTTTTCAAGTACCTTTTTGATGATTTCAACTCTCCTCATCTCCATCTTAACAGCGGGGTATACTTCTGTAATTTCCTCCGTTTCTCTCTCTTTTGGACTTTTATATCACTCCGTGTCTGTCTCTTTTTTCCACGGGCTTATGTAACTTTTGATTTCGTCCGTTGAATTATGTAATAAACGGAAAAAGTAGGTTGAAGTTACTTTTCTGGTTGTATTGTCCGGATCATTTTAGCTATTTTTTATATAATTATTTATTTTATTTATTATGAAAAATTGACAAAAATAATCTCACCTTTCACCGGTCTTCTCAAAATAATCCCACATTGCCCTTCATCTTCTTTCATTGGATCCTGACCATGTTTTTTACTCTTTCTTTGAAAATTATATAAATAATCTCACCTTTCACTTTTTAATCATATCCTTATAATTGTGAGATTATTTATATAAGATTTTTAAAAAAGGTAAAAAAACTTGGTCGGGTCCCATGAAAGGAGATGAGGTGTAAAGGTGAGATTATTTTGGGATTATTTAAGGGTGGGATTATTATGAGAAAACCAGTGAAAGGTGGGATTATTTTGTCAATTTTTCCTATTTATTAATAACAAATATTTTTAGATATAATTTTTTATGAATCATACAACAACTTCAGCCAAAACTTCATAAATTTCAGCAGAATGAGCCAATTCAACCAATTTTAGTGTTAACAAACGGGTTCTAGGCGTGTATATTGATTTGTTTGGCTCTTTCCCCCATTTTCACCGGTGGGCGTAGCTCAACTGGCAGCAAGGGAGTGTTAGGGTTAAATCGTGGGTTCGAATCCCGTCAACTGCGATGAGGGGTTACTATGCTAAAAATGAATAGAGCCTCTGCAAGTACTGGGACAGATTGGGATTATGGTCCAATTTACATCCTCCCAACGTACCGTCTGCTCGGGGTTGGCTCTTTCCCCATTTTGATGGTTATTATGGAGTACTACGTAATGAGTAGCAGAATGAGCAGTGCTGGTGGGTTCCCTTTTCTATATTTAGAAAGAATATACAGAGCTTTTGTCTCTTTATGATTGATATGAATATATGAGTGATCGAGATTCTTTACTATCCAACTTCCCACGTATGCCACAGCATTGATTTAAATATCTGTCTGCTACTTTAATCCTTAAATGCGGAGTTGGATGTAACACATAAATAGAAGTAAGCAAGAAGATGGGAAAGAAGCCGTCAATATCATTTGTCTTTCTTGCAATGGTTGTGGTCTGTAATTACACAGGCCATTATTTTAGTTCTGGTTATCTTACCTGCATGCTTCTTATTCACATTTTTTAAAAGAGTAATTTATTTTTAGTGCATTTATTTGGGTTGCAGGTTCACCATGACATGACTGCCCCTCTGTCCCATTATTTCATATTTACTGGGCACAATTCATATCTTACTGGAAATCAACTTAGTAGTGACAGCAGTGATGCTCCCATTATAGATGCCTTGAAAAGAGGAGTTAGAGTTATTGAATTGGACATTTGGCCTAATTCCACTGGGGATGATGTCCATGTTTTTCATGGGAGGTAAGGTGTCTTCTGATATATATCCTGTAGTTGATCAAAGCTTAATCATCTTTTTAAAATTCCTTTAAAATAATAAGCATTTTTCTGCACCGACTACTTGTGTTGTTTACTTTATGTAGGACACTTACATCTCACGTGGAGCTTATCAGATGTCTAAGATCTATCAAAGAACATGCGTTTATTGCATCAGATTATCCAGTTATTATAACCTTAGAAGACCACCTAACTCCCGATCTTCAGACTAAAGTGGCTGAGGTAAAAATCTTTCTAATCTTTTAGGGTCAGTTTCAATGGAGGGATTTTGAATTTTTGGAGGGAAATGCTTTGAAGGTATTTAATAGGTGATCAAAATGTTATATGATCACCTCTTATGTAATGTTGTCGATATTATTAATTGTCACCCAGACATGCGTATGTATGTGTGTATAAATAAAGATACTAACTTTGTCCCCAACACCCAAAAAGACATCCAAAAACCTTCATCCAAATGAAGTCTTAGGTGTTCCAAACTGTTGTGGAAGTAATGTCTCAATCTTAATCTGTAGATGGTCACTCAAACCTTTGGAGATATTCTGTTCATTCCTGGATTAGTAAGCTTAAAGGAATTTCCCTCCCCAGAATTTTTGAAGAAACGAATTCTCATATCAACCAAACCACCAAAGGAATACCTTGAGGGAAAAGATATTAAAGAGAAGAAGGGTGATACGGACAGTGAAAAGTCTTGCCACATCCAAGCTGATGACAAGGTGTGTATGAAAGGAGAGTGTAGTGACGTCTAATAAAGAATTATTTATTCAAGTTACCAACACTTTCCCCTTTTCTTACAGAATGAACTAGATGAAGATAGTGATGATGAAGAAGTTGAAGGGGATATAAAGTCAAACCGAAAGGTAGCCCCAGAGTATAAACAATTAATTACAATTCATGCTGGGAAGCCTAAAGGTGGTTTTGATGTAAGCCTGAAACTGGATTCTGGGAAAGTGAGACGTCTTAGCTTAAGTGAGGAACAACTCGAAGATGCTGCAGAAACTCATGGAAAAGAAATTGTCAGGTGCCAATTTATATATATGAAATTTCTCAAATGCCATCTTAACTTTCCACTAAAAAGAAACTGAATATTTAATTATTTATACTTAAAGATCAATTATGCGCATCTTTACACCCATTTAATATGCAGATAATGTTTCATGAATCATCTGAAATTTTAATCACGTGATGCAGGGTTTCTGATAGTACTAATTGTCATGTAGGTTCACACAGCAGAATATTCTTAGGGTCTACCCAAAGGGTATTCGTGTAGACTCATCCAACTACAACCCTATGATTGGATGGATGCATGGAGCCCAAATGGTTGCTTTTAATATGCAGGTTTCTGAATAAAAATACTTATCTAAGATAATTAAAGGTGTGATTTCCTAATGTTTGGGTCAAGACAGTATCCTTGTGGTTTATGTCCTGTTTGTAGTAATAAATTAGATTAAGCACCATGTAGAGTAGTTAGCTTTTGATTTGCTTATTTGCATGGGGGACATTACTATACATTTTTGCTTTCCTAAAATTCAACATATTCAGTGAATTTAGTCAAATATTCCTTACCTAACTGGTCGTAATTATGTTAGCAGTTTAGTCGCCATGAGCATGCGAGCCTGTAAACTTTTTTAAAGGTTCAGATAAGCTTATAAAGAAAGTATTATTTATTTAGCATAACAACTGTCCCTAATTACAGACAGTTTTGGTTGATGCCTTGCATAAAAAAGTGGAACTTATTCTTTTCGTAGTTTTTTTAAGTACATCTCTGCCAAAAATGCTTAGAAGTTTTTTTATTGATAGGGACATGGAAGATCACTATGGTTGATGCATGGAATGTTCAAATCTAACGGTGGGTGTGGTTATGTGAAGAAACCTGACTTTCTATTGAAGCCTGGTCCTCATGGTGAGGTGTTTGATCCTAGAGCTGAGTTACCCGTGAAGACAACTTTGAAGGTGTGCCCAATTGTTTGACATTTTCTTGATCGTTCTACTACACCACCATAATGCTATTAATCGAATTGACTGTAATACTCCTATCAGGTGAAAGTCTATATGGGGGATGGATGGTACAATGATTTCCAGAAGAAAGATTTTGATTTATTTAGCAAACCAGATTTCTATGTTAGGGTATGTCAATACTTTATTCCATGCCCCTCCCTCTTATCTCTAGAATAATATTATATAAACTTAAATTGATGGTTTGTGGTTGGTCACCCTGTAGGTAGGAATTGCTGGAGTCCCTGCAGATAGTGAAATGAAGAAGACAGAAAAAGTGGATGACAATTGGAGACCTGTTTGGAATGAGGAATTCGAGTTTCCATTAACTGTTCCAGATTTGGCTCTCCTTCAGATTGTTGTGAATGAGTATGACATGTCTGAAAAGGATGATTTTGGTGGGCAGACATGCCTGCCCGTATCTGAATTACAAAGAGGGATTCGGGCAGTTCCACTACATGACCGTGACGGGGTAAAGTTTCGTTCAGTTAAGCTGTTGATGCATTTCGATTTTGTGTGAGTGTATTAGCAGTTTTCTGTGGGATGATAATGTACAGACTCCAGATCAGTTAAGCCTTTTTTTGTTTTGTTTTGATGTTGCTGTGAACTGGTTGGTGTCTGTTATAACAAGAACATTTGCCTCTGCTGTTTGTAGTATTATTCCACGTCAAAGGATCATTTGTTCTCCCTGTATGTTAAATTCCCAAGGTCACTATTGAACTTCAACTATTGAGAAATTATATCATATACGTAATATTTTGTAACCTTAAGCATTTTCTCATTTAATTAGATCAACTTCAGTCACATACTAGATCATATTAGATCGGTTCAAATCATATTAGGGGAGATTAGGGTAGACTATTGTAAAATGCATATATAATGGACATCTAGACCATACAAGATTTTGATTGTTTATAAAATACTGATAGAACAAAATCTACTAGTCTAGTTTTTATCGCACTAGACCAGGTAAGACTAAAGAGATCAAATCAGATTAATTCACATTAGAAAATTTCAATTCAATTAAAAACATCTTTGGTGACTAAAAGTTGTTTACTTCAACTAAAATATACTCTAATTCTTTTGTACACATTTGATACAATGTTTGATTGAATATGAGAAATGGTCATTCTAAATTTGAAAAAAATACTGTGTTAAATAAATGCTCATATACGAATTGAAAATGTGCCAAAAAAAGATGGTAACCCGTGAGTATGACAGTATAGTCCCAAGAAAATGCATGCATATCTTCACGATTTATTTTTCATTGAATCTATACTTTTAAGTATATATGCCTTATTCCACGTTGAGAGTAAATATCAAAGTTTACCGTCATACTTTCAACTTTAATTTAACCCTCATTCTTGTCTTTTCAATCAACATAATAGCGTTGACAAACATCATGCACGACTATGTATCTTTTTGAGTTGAGTTCGTGAGTTCATCCACGACTATAACAAATTAGGAAGGACTCAGAATCAATTCTTTATGCACTTTGATAGTAATAGGGCACCATGGAATCCTCCTTACACTAGTATGAACACTTGTAGTACAATCTCATATATATCCATTATGATGTTGATATACTTACGTAATACGAGCTATCTAATTAAGGCTCACTAAATGACTTACATGATGTTTAAATCTAGTCTCATCTGAAATGCTTATGTCTGGTCTGAGATTGAAACCAGTCGAACTAAAATATCCAAGTGGGTCATCGATTTCCGGATCAATCCACTGAAACCGATTCATATTGGATCACACAGATTTGCACATGCTCATTTGTTTTCGATATATATTTATATTGTGTTGCACATGTTGCCTGGTGGTTTCAAATCAGAAGAGGCCGCACTTACATAAACAAACCAGACCTAATTAAACAAATCATATCAGACTAAGAAACCAGACTTACATGAACGAGTAGATTTCACCAGACCTAAACAAATCATATCACACTTAGAAAATAGTTTAAACATAAACCTAACCTTTATTATACAACCGAGAACCGGATTTAAATGGACTAGATGTTTATTTCAACCCACCACTAATGTGATGATAAATTACATCCTACAACCGGCTGTACCTTGAGCATGGTACAGTCGGATATTTTTGTAATATATTTGAATTTCAAGCCTCTAATTTAAGTAACATGCTCCTCTATCTAACTTTTTTCTTATTCGTATGTTAGTCTCTTTTTTTCGTTGTCATTGCTCCTGCGCATCTTGATCGTTGGTTTACATTTTTTTTCTTTTCTGTTTTCTTTTTTTTTCTTGTTTCCTTGCTTTACTTGATCATGCCTTGATTGTTTTGCTTCTTTCTTTTTGTTTATTTTACTTGTTGCTTTTCGTTTCTCTTTTTTCTTTAGCAATCTTTTACTTTATTTTTTTATTCAATTATTATGAAAATGTATTATATAAAATACAACGTATTATTTAGTGTTTGAGTTTTTTTTCTTTTTCCAATCAACCTTCTAACTTAAATTTTTTAATTTGTGCATTATAAAATATTTTAGGTATTAATTTTTATTTTTTCTATTATTAATTTTAAGATGAATATTTATTAGTTTATTAAATATTGTGTGTTTACTAACACGAGTTTTGTGTTATACTAAAATCAGTATAATTTAAAATAAATGTGCATACACAATTGTTAATAACGAATCTACTAGATGTACATATTGTAGAAAAGAGTTTATGTTATATTGTAATAAGTATAAGGATTAAAAAAATGAGCATACACAATTGAATATTTGAACACATTAGAGAATGTAAATGAACTTTTGAATTTTTCGATGCTCATTTTGTAAGTTACATATGCTCATCTGGTATTGGTTTTATGCTCATTTTAAAATGTTATATCAATGCATATTTTCAAAAGTACCATATTACATTAGATTCACGTGGGATTATATATATGAGAGCACAAACCATGATACTCAATTGCAAATTTCTAATACTCAATAGAGAATGTTTAATGTTCAAAGAAAATGTCGTGATGTTCAACTAAAAAACTAATGATTTTCATATCAATGCTCATTTTTAAAATGTCATATCAATGCATATTTCAAAAATACAATATTATATTTTAGATGCGCATATTGGAGTTATAGGAGTTGATTACAGATATAATTTAATAGGTGTTATAAAAGAAAAAATAAGAAAAGAATGTGAATTCTATGATATGAAACAGAGATCGCGATGCTTATTGTTTAACTTTTAATGCTCAACAAAATATGTTTGTTACTCACTAAAAATGCATTAATGCTCATTTAGCAGAAGACGCAAATGTCATTTAAATTACCAAAATGTTACCGGCTGTACCGTACAGGCTTCCCTAATGTGACCACATCAAATCACAAAAAATTCAATTCAAATTAAATTAAAATATCTTATTAAGCAAGATGTTTATAAGCTTTTAATGTTTTTGATTTATCATTCAAGTATTTGTGTTTTATATAATTGAGTTCAATTAAATTACTCTTTTGCAGAAATAAATACTCCCTCCGATTCGAAAAAAAGTTCCATCTTTCCTTTTCGGGCATATTCTAAATTAAGTTCCACTTTCAAACATTCCATTTTTGGCAAATTATCTACATCAAAAAAGTGTCAAACATTGTTCAAACAGTGACAAACAGTGCACTCTACAGTAAAATCAATGATGGAGTATATGGCCCAGGGACCCCCGGCCCACATACTTCCTCTACTACAATCAGGCCCAACAGGCCCAAACGGGCCAAGCCCAGCAAAATGGAGCTCTAAGCAGCCCACAATACGCAAAGGGGTGCCTTCATCCCCATGGCCGAAGGCTACCAGTGACGGAATCGAGCTCAGAAACATTACAGGAGAACAAGGCTTGAAAACCAAGCCTTCGGTAACTGCAGCCCTCGGCAGGCAGGAGCCCTCGGTTAGAAGAGACATCACAGGAGAACAAGACTTGAAAACCAAGCCTTCGGCACCTGCAGCCCTCGGCAGGTAGGAGCCCTCGCCTTCAGCTCCAACATAATGCCCCTGATGCCCGCCTTGGCATCGAGGTCAAAAAGAAGGACCGGAGCGAAAACCAAATGAGCCCTCTGGTTCTCACCATTGACGTCCAATCAGCGTTCTCCGCCTTCATCCAAACTCTCACTCAAAACCCAGGTGCCTTCGGCACGCTGGTACCCTTTCAGCCGCATGTCGGGGAGAACGCCATTCTCCCCCCTCCTCCGCTCCCCTTCGTGAACCCTATCCTTCGGTTAGGGAACAACGAGAGGGTTGTGGCGCAGGACACCGCCTCTCAGGAAGTCCAATCCCGGGACCGCCATGGCGCAAATAAAGAAAGGCCCCGGACCTCCGCCCTCGAGAGACTCGGAGGGGCGCTAGACCGCCTCGGCGGAAAGGTGCTCCAAAGACCTCAGGAAAGTGGCGGATCCGTCTCCAGGGCAGATGAGAAGCTTCCCCCTCGAGATAAAGGCAAAGCACCCCTCCATGTCGACGGCACCCGACATCAAATCAACCAGGCCCGCTCGGCTCATGGCCATTCGCAGGGGGCGGAGGCCCTCCCGAAGGACACCAGGGACAAAATTATTGCAGCCCTCCAGCACCGGCTTGATGAAATGGAGGCCCATCAAGCACATACCGCCGTTGCCGCCCCTCATGCAGATTCTAAATATGAGGCCATGCTGGCCAAAATGGAGGAGATGCAAAGGAAATTTGCTGAAGGCTCCGGGGAACCCGTCATCCAACTCCGAACTAGGACGCCATTTACCCCAAGGGTATTGGCGGCCCAAATCCCGGAAAAGTACCGAGGGCAACTCATCAAGCCCTATGAAGGAAAAACTGACCCCCGGGAGCACTACTACAGGTATCAAAACAACATGATGATGATGGGGGCATCAGATGAATACTTATGTCGTTGGTTCCTTTCCACCTTGGAGGGACCAGCATACGAATGGTTCAACCGATTGCCCGAGGGCAGCATTGACTCTTGGCAAGATCTTGCCCAACGCTTCCTCACCCATTTTGCCGGAAGGAAGCGCGCGAGAAAGCACTTCTCCCACCTCCTCTCCGTCAAGCAACAGCCTGACGAAACACTTCGGTCTTTCATTGACCGGTGGATGAAGGAGAAAGACGAGGTCGAGGGCGCCGACGAGCGTACCCTCCTCATCCTCTTCCAGGGGGTTCTCCGCAGCAGCCCCTACGCACGGAGCCTCATCACCGACCCCCAAGATCATACCTCAGAGCACTCCAGCGGGGGAGCCTATACGCCGACGCCGACGACCTCCACTCCTTCAAGAAGAATGAGGGCCAGCCCTCGAAGAAGACAAACAACACGCCGGTCCCAAATGCGCCCTCGGCCGGAGGCCGAGACCATGGAAGCCACACCCAGTAGGGCCGTAACGAACGCCAATGGCGCCCTCGGCTGGACATGCCGAGGACTCCCTTCACGCATCCGGTGAGCACTATCCTCAACTATGCGGAAGAGCAGGATCTTTTTCCCAAGGACCCTCGGTCGGCGAGGGAGATCTACGCCATCCACCAAGGCAATACTTATTTCCGTTACCACAAAAGCACCTCCCACAATACAGACGATTGTGTCTCGTTAAAGAAGGCTATTGAACTCTTAATTCAACGGGGTGGGCTCCACCAATTCATAAAAAATGCCCCATGGAAAAACACCGGGGAGAACACCGATAAAGAAGAAGGGGACATCGCAACGAAGAAACATGAAATCGAGAGGCTCACTGATGGCGAGGAGTTCGAGGAGCCCCAGCCGAAGAAACGCCACCTCCGCTAATCATGTTCCTCGCC